CAAGAATGAGAGAAGCAAATCTGGGCGCAGACCCTGCATGTAAACAGCCTCCAAGTGCACAGATGATATTCCACAGAGAGTTACGTCTGTGCAGACCTCTTTGAAAACAGGGCCACGTCGTTTGTACGCATTATAAAAAGACACACATGAGGAGGCCGCCCTGCCTCCCTCCGACCACGGGGCCCAAACCCAAGTGGCTTTGGAATTTCCCAACTTCCCTGAACAAAATGGTCTTGTATTAGAATGGAAGTCGAGGACGACTCAATAGCAATAGCAATGACACCACGTAGCTTTTCGTATGGAAAAGAGGAAAGGAGGAGGACAGGCCCAGGAGAAGGGAGGCTCCTCAGTGAGCAGAGGGTGGTGTCCCCTGCTTGCAGCTCAGCAGCCCTGAGGCCCGCCCTCATCAGCCGGGAAGCCGGGCCCCTGCCAAAGGCAGAGCCCACACAAAGGACCGGGAGGGGGAGGCTCAAGGCGTGGGGTGCAGGACCCGGCTGCAGGTCTACCTTGGGACCCCAGCACACTGGTCCCAGAGCCCCTGCACACACGAACAATGCATGTCCGGATTCCGTGTGTGGCACAGCCCACACGTGGCCCCCTATACATTCTCGGCCAGGTCTAGATTGTCTATCAGTCACCCCTGGATAGTGAAAATGCTATGTAAACAGCTATATGCCGTACTGTTCAGAAAGCAATGACAAAGAAGTCTACCTGTTTCATTAGAGATGCAATTTTTAAAAATATTTTTGATCTGAGTCTAGGATGTGGAGCCCGAAAACTCAGGGGCTGCCTGCACTCTCTGCTACTATGTTCTGAGCATCATTCTAAAGGTGGTCTGCCACCAGAGAGAATGAGTGAAAGAGTACCTCAAAGCCAAGCTATGCAGGACAGGCTGCCTGCAGCACAGTCTGGGAGAAGGGCATCAGTGCTGTCAGGCGCGGCCCTGCTGGAGTGAGGTCGTCAGGAGGGGACACAGCAGTGAGGTGACAACGGGAAGCAGCGTGACACCACCCAGCACTCCCCACGAAGAGCTACCAGTGTGGCCCAGCACAGCCACTCCAAGACCCGGAAGATGGTGATGAGGCTCAGAGGGAGCTTCCCGCGGACTGGGAGCAGGGACAGGGAGACCCGCGCCCAGCAGGAAGGCGATGGAGCACCGGGGACAGGGAGACCCGTGCACAGCAGGAAGGCAATGGAGCATCGGAAGGCCCTCTGCTCCTGCAGTGCACAGGCCACAGGCCGAGCGGGGGTGGGGCGCTGTCCGGGCTGTGCTAAGGAGTCTGGTCAGTACTCCGGAGGTCAGTCCTGGCCAGCAGGAGACTGCGGCAGAACCCTGAGGAAGGCCATGGCACGTCCTTGTTCATTTTAAATCACACTAAACCAGCAATCCCGTCTGGGGTAAGGCTTGTGACAAGGGATGAGCAAGGGTGAGGAAGGCCTGCTGTCACCCACGGCAAGGGGGACCCCCAAGTGCAGCTGGGGTTGGAGCTTGCTGTGGGCTGGGAGCGCCCCAAAGCTTTATTCCTTCTTGGCTCTTTTGATTCTAAGACAGAGCAAGCATGCAATAAACCCCACGGACTGAAAAGTGCACACAGAACGGAAGCGCTCCTTCCCGGCTGGAAGATCAAGGCCCGGTCTTCAAATGAAGTTGGCGAGGGCCTTTCCACGAGCTGACTTAAAAGAAATGGCTCCTCCTAGCCTTTACTGGAAACTGCCTCTGTGCCAACACATACGTACATAAATCACAGGCGTGTGCTGTGTTCAAGTTTGTAGACAAAAGGTTAAAAAATACTTACCCCCCCACACACATTTTAGGAAGCCTCTAACAGGGGAAAATGAAACGCAAGAACGCCCTCTCTGGCTAATTACCACGCAGTCGCCAGCCAGCAAAACAGTTCCCAAGGTTCCCCAAGTGCTACAATATTATATATGGTAAATACGCATCTTTGTGAACTTTCTGAGTATGAGACAAAGGGGACCACCGTGAAGAAGCACTGGATGTGGACCTTGGTCCACACGTCTCTATCCCCGGAAGGTAAGAAGAGATCCTTACAAAGTGGCAAAGACACGAAGGCTGTGTATTTATTGTGACCATGTTGTCAGTAATTCTGAAAAAATCTTATACCACAGAAGACAGTCAGACCTGGACACATACCCACGTGCCTCAGCCAATAAACTGTGATGCCAGGCTGACTAACCATATGCCTCTCCCGTCGGACAAGCAGAGAATGCTGTCCCCTGCCTCACGCAAACCTACAGGCCACAGGGAACATGATCATTCATTAAATCCATGCCGACATCACTGCCTTAACAGTTCCGTATCTCTTGGTGCCCGGTAAATCCTTTGCCCCTTTGGATAACTTGCTTCTCGGCCTGCTCGCTACAAGACCACAGAGTTGAACAAAATTTGAGGGTGTCTCATAAAGTGATTTCTAGTGACGGCCAATGTCCTAAGAAAAATATTTCTAAATATCCACTTTACCATACATACTGCGTGCGTTCTCTTATATGAGAAACCCAAAATAAAAATAAAGAGCAAAATATGAGATAATAGGAGGGAAGGAGGCAGACCTTTCGCTAAGGGGAAGGAGACCCGCAGAGGAGGGGGAGAGGTAGGAGGGAAGGAAATCGGAGTTAGAGTGTGTCCTGTACGCACACCAGCTCCCCCGCGACGAACACGGTCATTGTGTATGTCAAACATGTACGAGTAAAACTAAAAACTAAAACAGGCGCGATTAACATAAATTATCACCTAGCTTCATCTAGCACTGCCGGCACACATTGTTCTGCACCAGAAGTGCCTGACGGTCCTGACATGAGCTGCATGATAATCACCGTGCTCTGCTCTGATTAATTATTTGGCTGAATAAATGGATGAATTTTCACTCACAGGCTGATAGCTCCAGTTTCCAAGGTGTTTGCTTCCTACCCTACAGCAGCTACCAGGAATAAAAACAGAGGTGGTCCCGGTTGCAGTATCAAGTACAACGGATGGTTACACTCAAAAAGTGCCCATGTGAGTGATCAAATTAAATATACGACATAAAATGTAGAAGTTGGAGTGCAGAAAATCTCTCATGAAGGGAGAGTCTTTAGCAGGCTCTTTGCTGAATGCATTTATTTGGTTACTTGATCTTCCGACCAATCACATTAGCAATGACAAAAGATATGCAAATGCACAGGGACAATGGCCAGCCACACTGCTCTGAGTCAGGCCCAGGAGGGAGACGTGTTCAGCAGATATGCAACTTGACTCACTCTCCCAAACCCCCCATAACCAGAGAACATTTAGAAGTTATGCTTGGCTACGATCTGAGAGCTACGCCATAATCATTGACCAAGAACAGTGCAAACAAGGATCAACTTTATTTCAGAAAGTAAGTTAACGTAGAAAATGTGTGCATGATTTAAACCCAGCAGAATTATGTTTACCCTGTCACAGCTGAATAATTGCATAGCAACAAAAAAGTATGCATTACTATGTTTGAATCACCATTTTATTGTATGTTTTAGGCGAATGAAATACTACATTTTGGGGGGCAATTTAGGACTAACTTTCCCTTCTATTCCCCTCAGAAAAACCAAACTAATTTATCATGATTAAATTATCCCTAAAAACTACAAGATTGGTATACTCAGAATAACAACAAGCTATTCCACCAAATCCGCTTGTTTACTATGAAAATAAACTGACCAAAGACAGAAATGGATCTCTTATTGTAAACTACTGCTATGAGTAATGCTGAATATCAGCTACAGTTAACAAAAGGCTGCAAGATTCTGCTTGAATTCTCTTCTGCTGTCTTCCTGTTGTTACCTCACCTGCAGCAGGCAACGGAAAGACCAACCGCACTTCCAAGTTTGGCCTCTCTGCAGACACCCAGTTGCAGTTACTCCCTCAAGTAAAGTAACAGTGATCTTAGTTCAGTCCCTAGTGGACAAAAGCAGAATAACCGGTACTTGGCGTGATTCAGCAAGCTTAGACCTAAGTCACTGTGACCAGGCAGGAACAAAAAGGAACATTTGTCCCTTCCTCATCTGGCGTCCTCTTAAAGGTTTGTTTCTTAACAGAGGGCTCCGGAGAAGCCAGGCTGTGTTTCTCCTGCGCGCGCCCAGGGAGTGAATCTGTTACCACAGGCGAGGAGAAGCTTCTCACCAAGGCGGGCAGGGCCACCCTCTTGGTAACACAATCCCCTAACACAGTTGCTTACCTGCCACAGGGCCACACGCGGGCAGAGAGCTGCGGGAAGGGCTCAGTGTAAGATTTCAACAAGAACATTTCAGGGATTCTACAGAAACGGGAAGCAGCTGCTCGATTGATTCCGATACTTTGGGGGTGAAATCCGCATCCAACCTAGCGCTCACCTGGGTACTGAGACCCACAGCCCACCCTGTTTCACTGCGAGCCCCTGAGTAAAGAGGACCAGGGGCCGGCAGCGCCTACTTGCTGCGCTGGGCCAAGTCCACAGGTGCGCATGGGCTGAGCGGACGAGAAGCCCTGCCCCTGAGCTCACATCAAAACTCACCTTTGACCTGATCTCCGCTCAAGGACAGCGGAGGGAACACACTGACAGAAATAAGTCTGCTTGCTAAAATGAAGCTTGGGCACTTGCATACCTAATTTCCGCAGGGAGCTGCCATACGGGTGGTTCATAGTCTTACTCTCGCTTCAAGTTAGTTTCACTAAAGGTTGAAACAAATTAAACATTTTGCGGTGGCTTCCACCGTTAGCGCACAAAGTTTCCCTGCGCAAAACCGATCTGTTCCTGCGCTTCTGTCTCTAGCATTCCCTCCTCCGGCCGCCTGCTCCTCTGACAGACGCCAGCTTTCTTCGCTGGAGCTGGGTTTGACAGAGAAATGAAGACTAACTTTAGCGGCCTGAGTCGTGCCAGCGTGGGGCACACGCCCGGCGAGCTTGCACACGCCCAGGGAAACCTGCGCACGGCCGGGGAGCTCCGCGGGCACCGGCGGGCGCGGGCAGCGCGGCCCGGCCCACTCACCTTCTGCAGCCACTGCGTGTAGTTCTCCATCGCGTGCTCCAGGTGCTGCAG